TATATATATATATATACATTTAGTATTAATCTATATTTACAATATGGATAAAATAAATAAGCTTTGTTTCTTAAAGTTGCTACTTTATATTTTAAAACTTTATTTCTCACAGTATGACTATTTCTTCTTTTATTTCTTCCTCATGCTGTTCCAAGCCTCTAGAAAACCATAAGAAATAGTCATTTTTGGGTTAACTGTCCCTTTTAGAGCCGCTAGTTTGAGAACTGGTGAATCCCAGCTACAAATCAGCCCTTGGCAAGGATTAATGGTTTGCATTTTTACACTGTTTTCCCACTAAACTGGGACAGCTGAGAACAAGAGCATCTTCCCTCAGGCCCGAATTAGTTTTAAACCCCCAATTTGAATGCAGGTTTCAGATTGGATGTGATCAACTGTGATGTGGGCCGCATCTCGACCGAAGCAGATTGTTTTAATCCAAACCTGCTGTGTTAAAGAAAGTCAAACATCCTGATAACGTTAAGGGAACGGCTGTTTAAAAAAATATCACGAGAATGGGAGAAACGGGACTCCTCAGCTATTTAACAGATACCATGGATTTAAGAGCCAAACCAGCATTCACTGTTAGGTTTGCCCTTGTGGTCCATATGTTTTGCCTTTAGGAAAACCTCTGGTCCTGTATAACTCAGAAATGACTAAATAAACCAGATATTTATACCATTATAAATAACACCAGAGTTATTGGTACAAAAAACACCTCTTAGAAAATACAGACTGTTTTTAATATTAAAAATCTCCAAAGTTCTTCAATTATTTTGTTCCCAAAAAGAAGGGAAGAAAAAAAGAGCACATGTGAAACTAATCATGGCATATTACCTTATATGAGGTCAAAAGTACAACCTCCCGCTTGGAAGACAAATTTCTAGGATTCTCTGAAGCAAAACCAATACTGTAAACATTACTAGGCTTTATTACATTACGAAAAGGGTCAGGTGAACATCCAAGGATGAAAGCGGGTCTTTCCCTCCCTCTGGGTGAGCAGCTGTCAAAGCCGTAAGGTGCACAAAACAAGATCGACCTGAATTCATACGACAAAACTCTCACGGTTCACTGCAGAGATGGTTGTCTGGGAATGACGAATCTGAAAAATGCAAAGCACAAAAAAGTTTTAACAGCATTTCTGACTATTCTTAATAGTGGTACATTAATGTTTTTGTGGTGTAGTAAAATTATAAAGAAAAAAATAGCAAATTACATTTCTCTCTCTCTCTCTCTCTCTCTCTCTCTCTCTCTCGCTCTCCATAAACATTTAAAATTTAATATGGATTTAATATGCATATAAGCAATGAACATTTCATTTTAATTATATAATATTAATTTAAATATATAACATATTAAGCTATATATAAACCATTTATATATATTTAAATTGATAAATGTCATTTAATATCACTGCCATAAATATTTAAATAAATATTAAACATGCTTTATTTAAAATAGTTCATATTAATATAATTACATAAATAAATATACAAACATTATAATACATGTATTTATATGTGCATATATAAATATAAATTCATTTAAATTATAAATGTAATATTTATGTTATATTATTGTAAAATATATAAAATATCAATGGTCAGTAATATTATAATAATATCTATATAAAATATAATAATAACAATATAATATAAATCGAGAAGCCCAGGAAGTAGAGAAACTTGTGTTTTTGTGGTCGGTAACACGGTTATTAATGAAGTGCATACACACAGCTGTGTTTGCGAAATCAGAAAAGGCAAACTCTTGAATATTGCAAATTGATGTTCCCTGCGGAGCTTTGTCTCGGATTAGCTTTGCATGTTGTGTTTACCAGATGTCTGCCAGTCGACTTGGAATGCCGTCTTCTTTTTATACACCATAATCAATTTCAGACATCAAAAAAGATAAAATCAAGTTGACATTGAGTAATCCAGTTAGCATGTTTTCTGTCCGTCCTGTAATAGCTGTGCTCCACTGATTTAAATTTTTTCCTTTCTCAAGTAGAAACCAGACCAGCAGGGTACAAGGCTGCCGAAAATAAATGGATGTTAAAGATGGACACATCTTGCACCTGTATGTTGGAGGCCCGTTAGTTCTTCAGTTACAGCAACAACACAAAGCCCTCAAAATCCAGCGGCTCTCGGTGGGCATTTGACCTGCTACCAGGAATATAACAGTAGGTATGAGGGGGCTCCAATACGTTTTGTTTGGTTTTTTTTCAAATTCTGCTACAATCTGAAGCCGAGAATTAGCTCTAGTTTGATCTACACATGAGCTCTCGCTAAGAACATCGAAAAATAACATGGCGCGGTGAGGAACATTCCGCACGTGTTTGATTTTCCCTCCGAAAAGTGCATGCTTCAAGGGAACGCTCTACGAAGAACGGGACATAATCTGACCGAGAAGACCTCACCTTACATCACTGAAATAACAAACTGATTTTTATTGAGCCAAAAAAAACTAATATTATTCGCTCAGCACAAACCAATAACCATATTAGTACGATTTTCAGCTGGTTTACACGACAGGCTGAGAGAACAAACGTGCCGCCGCCGTGTTGAAGATTCCCACGAGAAACTGTTACGTTTGTTTGTTCTCGTTCTGGTTCTTCCAGTGAAAGTCTACATTAATCACATGGGCCAGCGACCAAAGAATACACTTACAAATATTCATAGCATTGCGCTTGTTTTATCATCCTGTTGACTTTTGTCATTACAGAATGTCTCGGTACGTCAAATACCTGGTCTGGAATTCCTCCAGGCTTAGCAAATCAATACGCAAAGTATTTTTACACAAATGGCTCGATTCGATGCTTTGTGTCTGTAGCACACATCAGCTATGGCGTTTCCGATTGAAAATGATATATGCAGTGGGAATGAAAGCTAATTTATATCAAGACTGAGAAGGTCTCATGAAAGTACCAAAGATCACCAAAACAGACTGTCTTAAAGATGAGCACAGATTCTTAAGCTGCATTTTAATGCATGTGTGCATGTCAATGAACAGAACAAACTTTTCCAGCATACAATTTGTGATGCTTTGTGTTTCATATCGTAATCCAACACTTACTCGTTGGACCACGGTCAAACTTTGTAATGCCAAGGTCAATATTCAAAGGTCCCACTACACATGATTTCTCATATGTCTGCGGTAATGACAAAAAAAAGAAAAAAGTGCGGTCTTTGTAACTTAAAAACGCTAGGCTACTTATTTGGCTCTATAAATGGTGATTTAGACAACTATAACTATAAATAACTATAATAAATAAGTATTAAAAAAAAGAACAAAAGTTTTTATAAAAATAAATTAATTAAAATAAACAAATGTTTTAGATCCATGAAGGAATACATTTAAAATTTGCCTATTTTGTTGTATCAGTTCAAGAGTAAGAAATATTATGTACATTACAACTAAGTTGCACTAATATATTTTTTACAAGTTGATAAAGATTCAAAATAAAATTGAAATATTTAAAAATGAATAAATATATCTATTTAAAACAAATTTGTTTTATATAATTCTAAAAGCATTTTGTGGCCCCCTAGTAAAGTTCCTGGGTGAAAATATGCTGCACGTTAAGATTTTAATTTATTTTAATTTAAAATAAATTAATGTTAAAATTAATTTTAATATAAAATAAATAATTAAAAGGGAATAAATTATAATATATATATATATATATATATATATATATATATATATATATATATATATTTAAATTTTTTTATTAAAAACAGTAACAATTTTTAATTTAATGCCATTGGGGCACTCTAGATAAGTTTCAGATTAAGAAATATGCTGCACGTTAAGATTTTAGTTAAATTAATTAAAGTAATAAATAAAATAATACATTAATTTTTAAATAAATAAATAATGAATATTAATATAAAATTAATTAATTTAAAAATGAATGATTTTTTGTTTTTTCTTTTTTAATATTGCGGACACCTAGTAAAGACCCAGTGTAAGAAATATGACACATGTTGGCATTTTAGTTCATTTAAACTTAAAATAAATTAATATAAAATAAATAGAAACTTAAAAATTAAGTTTAACATTTATCTTTTATTTTTTATAATTTTAAAGACATTTTGCACCCCTCTTGTATGTACTGAGGCCTACTAGTGGGCCCCAATCTTAGCTTGGCTGTAAGACACCTGTCTGTGAGCCGTCGGAGGATGGAGCTGACACAGGAATTAAAGCCTTGCAGGAGATCTGGGAAAGCAGCAGACTTGGGATCAGCAGAACCTGCGTCTAGACGAAGGTGCCGTACCTGCATTCCTTCCAGAGCGACTCATCCCAGCCGGCTTAAGGTCTCTTTTGAGCAAGACATGTGGGAGTGAATAAGAGCTTCAACTCGAGCGCTCTCGCTCCGGCAGGCAGCGGCAGATGGTAGACGGCAGAGCGACTCTCTATGCTGGAGTGCCACATGTCAACATCAACCGACCACAACCCCCCCAGCATCCCCCTCCGTCCTATCACACTCATAGGCCACACATTAAACAACACACGCAAACCCCCCAATCATCTAATTACACTATTTGAAACAAGCATGTCATTTTAGGTTAGTAACTTGCCATTGAAGTGTTGACAGAGTCTGCAATTTGAAGGAAAATCACATACGAGCGCTGCTGTCGGTGCATTTAGGCTGTGCTGCGCAAGGCTGAAATGAAAAGGCTAGCTGACGTCACAGTCGTGAGTTGAGGGCCGTCGTGAGTAAAGAAATGAAAAGCTTGGCCAACGCTGGGCCTTTGAAAAATCACTCTATCTATCTATCTATCTATCTATCTATCTATCTATCTATCTATCTATCTATCTATCTATCTATCTATCTATCTATCTATCTATCTATCTATCTCATGGTGTATCCACCCATCCATCCATCCTTTTATCCATGCATCTATCTCCCCTTTTGTCTATCCATCCATACATCCATCTCATTGTGTATTCACCCATCCATCCATCCTTTTGTCTATGCATCTATCTACCCTTTTGTCTATCCATCCATTCAACCATCATCTATCTATCTATCTATCTATCTATCTATCTATCTATCTATCTATCTATCTATCTATCTCATGGTGAATCCATCCATCCATCCTTTTGTCTATGCATCTATCTACCCTTGTGTATCCATCTATCTATCCATCCATCCATCCTTTTGTCTATGCATCTATCTACCCTTTTGTCTATCTATCCATCCATCCTTTTGTCTATGCATCTATCTACCCTTTTTGTCTATCCATTCATCTATCTCATCCATCCATCCTTTTGTCTATGCATCTATCTACCCTTTTGTCTATCCATCCATCTATCTATCTATCTATCTATCTATCTATCTATCTATTTATCTATCTGTATGTCCATCTATCTACCCATACATCATCCATCCATCCATCTACCCATTTGTCTGTCTATCTATCTATCTATCTATCTATCTATCTATCTATCTATCTGTCTGTCTGTCTGTCTGTCTGTCTGTCTGTCTGTCTGTCTGCCTATCTATCTATCTCATGGTGAATCCATCCATCCATCCATCCTTTTGTCTATGCATCTATCTACCCTTTTGTCTATCTATCTATCCATCCATTCATCCATCTATCTATCCATCTATCCATCCATCCATCCATCCATCCATCCATCCATCCATCCAATGGTGTATCCACCCATCCATCCTTTTGTCTATGCATCTATCTACCCCTTTTGTCTATCCATCCATCTATCTCATCCATCCATCCTTTTGTCTATGCATCTATCTACCCCTTTTGTCTATCCATCCATCTATCTCATCCATCCATCCTTTTGTCTATGCATCTATCTACCCTTTTGTCTATCCATCCATCTATCTATCCATCTATCTATCTATATATCTATCTATCCATTCATCTGCATGTCCATCTATCTACCCATACATCATCCATCCATCCATCCATCTACCCGTTTGTCTATCTATCTATCTATCTATCTATCTATCTATCTATCTATCTATCTATCTCATGGTGTATCCACCCATCCATCCTTTTGTCTATGCATCTATCTACCCTTTTTGTCAATCCATCCATCTATCTCATCCATCCATCCATCCTTTTGTCTATGCATCTATCTACCCTTTTGTCTATCTATCTATCTATCTATCTATCTATCTATCTATCTATGTATCTACCCTTTTGTCTATCTATCTATCTATCTATCTACCTTTTGTCTATCTACCTACCTATCTATCTATCTATCTATCTATCTATCTATCTATCTATCTATCTATCTATCTATCTATCCATTCATCTGTCTGTCCATCTATCTACCCATACATCATCCATCCATCCATCCATCTACCCGTTTGTCTATCCATCTATCATCCATCTATCTATCCATCCTTGTTGACGGAGTCTGTAATATGAAGGAATATCAGATACGAGCGTTGCTGTCAGTGCATTTAGGCTGTGCTGTGCTAGGCTTAAATGAAAAGGCTAGTTGACGTCAGGAAAGAAATGGGCCGTCGTGAGGAAAGAAATGAAAAGTTTGGCCAGCCTTGGGCCTTTGAAAAATCACTCTTGAAAAAGACGAGTTAAAGGAGGTCAGGAGCGGAGATGAAAAGGCTGGCTGTTTAACTGCAGGTAATTCTTCATGAGCCGGTTTTTACAAATGTTAGGTGAAGTCGTTCGATCTTATTTGGAGATCGAAAAGTACTTGGGGCCAAGAAACAGCAGGCTTTTCTTTCTAAAATGATTTTACATGAGCCTTGTGCAACATTTGCAGAGGATAAAAGCCGTTATAACTCACCTTGCCTTGCCAACCGTCTTTATCACATGAGTATTTTTTTAGGACGAGCCAGTCTCTGATGAGCAGTTACCTTGTACATGATTTGCGAAGTTTTTAACCTTTCACAATTGCAAAACATTGCATCACAAAGAAGTAAATCAAGCTGAAACACTGAAACGATCCATTTTGCAAAGGTTAGCAGTAACTGCTTAATACATCGGGAACATATGAAGGGGTTCAGTGAGATTTATAGCCCAGAGGATGACTCTGGAGATAAATCTGAAACGATGGTGGTCCAAACGTTTTAATCAAATGAGTTTTGGGTTATTTTCAGTCATCGCAGAGATTCGGCAATTGCTTTAGAGAAAGAGGCTTCTCGGTCACACTAAAATAAATAAATGTAATTAAATAAAAATAAATGTTAATATAATAAAAATCATAATTAAGAATGAATAAATAAATAATTTAAATATAAATTAAAATGGGTAAATAAAATAACAAATTCAGTGGTTGCTTTAGAGAAAGACTTCTGATAAAAAAGTATTTAAAATAATTTATTATTTTTTTAAATAGCATAAGTGATAATGAATAGCTTTTTTAATGTTTTTACATATCTTAATATTAGATTCAGCAATTGCTTTAGAGAAAGAGGCTTCTAGATTACATTCAAAATATTAATAAAATGTTTATAAAAATAAAAAAATGGAATTGAGACTTTTCAACTCAAGTTAAACTTAAAGGAAATAAGAGATTCAGTGATTGCGTTTGAGAAAGAGGCTTCTTGATTAATGTACAAATAATTGTTAATAAAAAGAAAAAAATAACAATTGAGACTGTTCTGAAATAAATAATAATAATAAATAAATAAAAAATTCATTGATTGCTTTAGAGAAAGTCATCTAAAAAAACATAATTAAAAGATAAATGTCAGCCCAAAGAAAATTTTTTATTGTGACTTAAAAAAATTAATAAATAAAGTAAAGGATTGGAGAAAGAGGCTATAGATTACTCTCAAAATAAATAAATAATGAAATTAAATGTTTATTAAAAAAAGGAATAAAATGTAGCTGAGACTTTGAAATGTATAACTTAAAATAACTTGAATGAATAAATAAGATGAGTAAATAAAATAGTAGATTCAGTGCTTGCTGTAGAGAAAGAGGCTTCTAGATTATGCTCAAAAAAATAATACAATTCATAAAAATAGAGAAAATAATGTAATTCAGACTTTTCAACAACAAACTTGAATAAAATAATAATAATAATTGCAGATTTGTTTCAGAATAGTAGCATTGTTATGCAAGTCCAGACTTTGATTTAGCCTGATAAACATTTGCTGGGAAACAAAGAGTGTGTTTGTTTATCCCCAAACACACACCTGAGACAGGCGCTCCGCAGGGGGTTGTGGGAGTCCTAATCATTCGCCCCGCGTGTATTATCCTCAGTAAGGCCCAGACGCACCTGAATACACCTTGGCGGCCCCCTATTGCTGGTTGAAGCAGAGATTCATGTAGAGGTCAATAGAGCAACAGGTTTGTTGTGTTAGTAGCTTTGAGTCCATCTGTCTGTGACTCAGCAGAATAAAAGCTTCAACAATAGCGATCCGCTCAGTGACCGTGAGAAAATTGGTGATGTGAGTGTGACAGATCGCTGGAGGAGACGTGCTCACCTTTCAGCAAGTGCTTTGATGGATGAATTCAGAAATAAACATTCGGCTTTCATCTCTGTGGTGGTTTGGCGCGATACAGAAAGGTTTGTGTTCATTCGTACGACTTCGAACAATCTCTTGAGGCTCTTGTCAGCAGTTTAATTGAGTGGCAATAATGCGATCTGAGAAAGACATCGCCTGCAGAGCAACGATTGTTCCATAATGACACAACTCGAGCGTGTAAATAACAATAACATCTGTCAACATCACATCTTCACACCCTGACAGATGACAGCTAACAGATGATGCAATTTCACACCTTGCATGGCAAATCTATATATCCACCCTTCTGTCTATCTACCCATCTATCTACTGTTAGTCCATACATCCATATCTATCTATCTATCTATCTATCTATCTATCTATTTCCCTGTCTGTCTGTCTATCTATCTTCCCATTTCTCTATCCATCCATTTATATATCTATCGCTCTTCCCGTTAGTCTATCATCTGTTTACCAGTTTATATAACCATCTACCCAATTCTCTATCCATTCATCACAGACAGATCATAGATAGATCTACTATCTCCCCATTTGTCTATCCATTCATCTGTATATCTATCTACTCATTTGTCTATTCATCCATCCATCTATATATATCTACCTATATACCCATCTATCTACCCATTTATCCATCCATCTATGCACCCATGTCTATCCATCTATATAACAACCTATCTATCTACCCATCTATCCACCAATCCATATATCATCTTTCATTTGTCTACACATCTATCTATCTATCTATCTATCTATCTATCTATCTATCGGCCCATCTATCTATCTATCTATCTATCTGTCTATCTATCTATCTATCTATCTATCTATCGGCCCATCTATCTATCTATCTATCTATCTGTCTGTCTATCTATCTATCTGTCTGTCTGTCTGTCTGTCTATCTATCTATCTATCTATCATCTGATTCTATATTTTTATTGGATAATCCACATTAAAATCCATGAAAAGCTAAATTAAACTATACAAACTATATAATGTTTAATTGACTAAATTTAAGTTTAACCCAAATAAATGTACCTATTTATTGGAGCATTTTATAATATTTCTGTTCCTATAATCATACAAATTATCTGAGAAGTGAGGGGTACACATTATAAACCTTCTCAGACTGGCTCATGAATATTAATTAGTCACATTGTAACTGATTTGCTGAAAAGTAGGCACTTATCCATATTAGATTTTGTGTTGACATGTCTGATCGACTGCTGATGCTAACAATTAATGTAACTTCAAACAAGCAAAACAAAGCTCATTAAATATAGTTTCTGCCAAAAAAAAGTAAGGTGGGTGTTTTTAGAAATTTCAAATACATTTCCTGGCTGTTGTTGGCCGTTTATTAAAGCAATAAGCCACTCAGGTTGTGTGTTACAGTGAATTACCTCAGTTTTTCCCTGTTTTAGTTTTAAATTTATACATTAACTTAGATGTGACATTGTTTCCGTCTACTTTCTAAAACAACTCGCATGCTCAAATACTTCCAGGCGATGAAAATCAAATCAGTGTGTCAGAACAAAGTACATTTGAGTTACTTTCGTGATGGACTTTAAAAAAAGGACTAAAACAGAATAAACTACAGCTATGCAAGCACTTGCACGCAAAGACTCACGAGAACCTCATGCTGAATGCAGATTTTGGCACCGTTCACTCTGAGCTGTAAATGCAATGCACTCCTCCAAGCAGGACCTGTCTCACATCTGTTTGCTAAAATGCATGAAGAGGATATGTATTCAACATGATAACATGCTAAAGATCATATAGCCGCTAGCATATTGAACTGCTTGAGAAAACAGACATCTGTCACGCTAAACTTTCTCACTGCATGCTTACCTGCATTGAGACACATTAGCAACAAATGTGCCACACCTGCCAGCCTGTACAATGAAGATTACTCACTGTTTACTTTGTGGTAAACTTTAAAATAGAGTGCATATGTCCATCCGGTCTTACCTTGTTTGAAATACTTTGTGATGTTGTCACGGAAATTAGATAAACTTGGAAACTTGTATTCAATAGGAATGTTTCTGCTGGGTCCGTTTCTGAAAAGAAAAAAAAAAAATATATAATATAATTATCAAAATATATAATAAAAAATATAAATTATATAAATATAATTTAAAAAAAAATCTATATATGAAATTTTTATTTAAAAAAAATTTTTTTATCATAATTGAGTTTTGATTGTTTGTTTTATACATGCATCTTGATATATGTGTGCCAGGACACATGCTAAAAAATTCAAGACTTGAAATTTAAAAATCTGGAAGCAAGTCAAATAACATACAGCCAGTCAAACAAATGTAAAACTTATTGAGATTCCTATGGAGGCAAGTTAATTGCACTGCAACAAGACCTGAAAAATAAAAAAATAAAGATGGAAGATGAGAAATGTCGACTATTAATAAGCTTTTATTTCAACCAGTACTGAAAAATGTTGAGAACAAAATAGCTAGTCTATTTAAACTATTTTACCCAATATTTGTGTCTTATACTTATATAGTATAGTATAAGCGTAAGCTGAGCGACATGTCTCCCATGTGATCGTGATTTGTATGGAGTTTGTATATAGGCAGCTCACTTGATTTTGGAACAGCAGAGAACATAGTTAAATAGCAAAAAAAAAACAAAAAAAAACATTAATCTCTGTAATTCTCTTGTTTATGAGTCATGTAGCTGGGTTTGAATCTATGATCTTTGAGCTGTAAGCCCACATCCTGAACCATTGCCACACCTTATTAGCATCTTGTGGCTTCTGAAACACACTTCTGAGATTTCAAATCAAACTCAACATAAACAATATAACATTGCTTTCGGCTAAAATACAGGTCCTCTATCCATAGTATTCCCTTCTCCAGTCAAACAGTTTTCTCATCTGAATCAGGAGAGAAATATGCACAGATCAAGTATCGTTTACAAGTGAAAACAGTCCAAAGCATTTCTAAACAAATATGTTGGTGGATTTTGATGTGAGGAGGACAACAGGGGATGAACTTAATCTGCATTATGGACAGATATTTTGGCCAGAAGCGACGGTTTAAGGTTAAAACCTCTTAATGACGGATTTTAATATTCCAAAACGCAGCTTTTTGCTTCACAAGGCATTAATTGATAGACTGACGTTGTGTGAAATACTTGTGGATTATTGTGATGTTTTATCAGCTGTTTGGAATCTCATTCTGACGGCACCCATTCACTGCAGAGCATCCATTGGTGAGCAAGTGATGGAATGCTACATTTCTCCAAATCTGTTCTGATGAAGAAAAAACTCATCTACATCTTGGAGGGTGAGTGAATTTTCAGCACATTTTCACTTTTTGGGGTAATTTTCTACGAATAGAAAATGGTGGTGTCCCTCAAACCAATCATTTAAGAATGACCTTTTTAGCAGATCATGGCATTGTGATCTCGCTGAAATTTAATAATAGCTGTTATGATATGAAATAATTAAAAATTGGCCCGCAAGAACAGCATGAACAATGTGCCTAGGCTCTCCATGAGGTGCTTATTAGATGTTAAAGCTTGTTATTACCTGATAGCAGCCTGAAGCTCATTTACTGTAATCCAACTAAAGCAAACAGGCAGCCAACAGGGATTATATTAAAGAGGGTATTAAGAAACATATCCAAAATTCTGGCACGCAACACTCTCCGAAGATGCAAATCTCTTGTTAGAGATGGAAAAGAAGGTTTTGAATTACCTTCAGGAGTCCGGTTGAAATGATAATCTCTTGCAGTAAAATGACGGGACTTTTACGATGGCCTCTAAAACAATATCATGCACATCACGTCACTTTAGTCATAGCCAGTGTTATTACCGCGGATATAGTGAGGGGATTTCGCCGTCTTGTATAGCGATAGCAATTGCTGAGCAACGGATAGAACAGTACAATAACATTTAAAGGTTAAGTGCCCAAACAGACCACCTGAAAACAATTCTGAATGGTGGCTCGTCAAGTGTTTCTGTCTTTTATGAATGTCTCACGTCATCCATTAAACAAGGGGCTGGAATGAAGCTGGCCCAGCACTCGGCATCTGCTGCAATTGTTTATAGAAATATGCCCATATTTTTCCATTACTCCCCCAGGACCCATATTCAGGAACGATACATTCCAGAGAAAGAAAAGAAGCGATTCCTCCAGCAGGACTTATGATTGTATTCCTGGAAGAGAGCCTGGTAAGAAACGAGGGTAGTTAACATCAAATACAAAAACGAACGAGCTGTGCCGACTTACTCTGCAAGGTTGGTCGTATGAGTTGGAGAAACATTCACAATGATATCCATTGTTGACTTTTGGACACTTTTATACATGCGCACAGATTCTGTTTATAATCAAATTTCTAAGAACTTGGCACAATACTTTTTTTTCCTGTATCATGGACACTCTTTAAGGCGTCTTCACACCAAGAACGATGATAACTATAAAGATAACTATAACAACAACTACAGTGGGTACGGAAAGTATTCAGACCCCCTTAAATTTTTCACTCTTTGTTATATTGCAGCCATTTGCTAAAATCATCAAGTTAATTTTTTTCCTCATTAATGTACACACAGCACCCCATATTGACAGAAAAACACAGAATTGTTGACATTTTTGCAGATTTATTAAAAAAGAACTCAGGTGCTGTCCCTTTCTTCTGATCATCCTTGAGATGGTTCTACACCTTCATTTGAGTCCAACTGTGTTTGATTATACTGATTGGACTTGATTAGGAAAGCCACACACCTGTCTATATAAGACCTTACAGCTCACAGTGCATGTCAGAGCAAATGAGAATCATGAGGTCAAAGGAACTGCCTGAAGAGCTCAGAGACAGAATTGTGGCAAGGCACAGATCTGGCCAAGGTTACAAAAAAAATTCTGCTGCACTTAAGGTACCACACCAAAGCACTATAACATTCTGTTTAATATAAGCATGCAATGTAGTTACATCATCGGCCACTTAAAATGCTCTTTAAAGCAGGATGGATTCTGATTGGCTGCCAGTGTTTTTATTGTTCAGCAGACGGGGGGGAAATCATTCTGAATGTGGTTCCAATGACTCAGCTATTCTTTTAAATTTAGAACAGTTTTTAATACTATATCTTTATTGTTATCGTCCTTGGTGTGAACGGGCCTTTATTCATCATTGACACTTATTTATTAGTGTCATGAAGGTACTTTAAGACCTCAGTGAGATGAGACAGGAAGTGATGTCTCTTCTGAGAGGACTCTTGCTGGATTGGAGAGGTGGGGGAAAGATAATTGCTCTCAGCAGGCTGACAGAAAGGGGGAAAGAGAAAGCCAGAGAGAAAGAATAAGGGGATAGCTGCCAATTTGATCAAGATGCTTGTGGTGTCCACATATGGGCTTCATTACGGCATTCGACTGCCTGTGGTGACCCCCATTGGACTAGATCAGCGGTTCCTTGCTGACGGGGGGCGGCCTGCTCTCCCAATGCGGCCTAAAGTCCACAAGGGCAACCTGCAGGTGGACTTTGGCAATCCTCTGGTGTGGTCGCCATCCAGACACATTCTCCACCAACTCTTGTGCCTGGCAAGCGCCCCCAGCTCAGAGCTCTGCATCAGGCCTGGAGCGTCTCCAGATGAGCCTCAGTCATATTGACGACACTCCGCACGCACTAAGATGCACGCCAAGGTTACACCATCGCTGACGTCTGTCAGGCGGGAATCCTCTCCCTGTTTTCTTTCTTGATCAGCCGGAGTGTTTTCTCTGCGGTTCGAGAGACAGAAATTCGAACATGCCAGTGATTATTGCTGGCCCATAACAAGCTCTAAATTCATTTGCTGTCGACTCTGCTGTCGTCGGGCCAAGTGAACATGGCGGCTGGAAAATACCCTGGAAGAGAGTCACGGACACGCCTGTCCTTCTCAAGACGTGCGCTCGAAAGCGCGTCCCTGTTGAGGAGGGAGATGCGAGCTGGAGAAAATAAATGTGTATCGAATCACTTCTCCTCTGTTTGGGCCCCTCTCTCCCTGGCAACCATGAAGCAAGCCTGTTTTCCCATCCGACCGAAGCACTGAGATTATAAGAAAAGAGCTGAAAGGGAAATGTATGCTATACGTTTCCTGATGGTAATTAATAGCATGTTGACTGAAAGAAAATCAGTGAAGGATTTACATTAAAACAATTTTCATTCAGAAGTTGCAAGTAAATTTCACAAATAATTACTACGAAGCGGCAAGTAACACACTGAATTTAATGTGAAATGTGAAGTAGAAAGACTGAAATAATATTTTCTTATAAAGTTTACTCCAATAATTGTTTTATTTAAAACTTTAAAAATGCTTTTTTTATGCTTACTTAAAATGAAAATGAGTGGGGCCAATCTTTTTTAGCAGCAATGTGAAGCTTATAATTTTATAAAAGCACTTACATTAATTCTTCTGTTAAAACTTGTGTATTATTTGAGCTGTAAAGCCGTTTAAATCCAAATTTTTACAGTCGTTTTAGAGTTTACACCATTGTAATGGTGATATACTTTTGAAGCAGTGAGTATTTTAACATTTACAAATCACTCCCATTCACTTCCATTCTAAATCTCTAATTTTAAAGGGATGTTTGATTGCGATTTCACTTTTTTAATGTTAGTTAGTGTGTAATGTTGCTGTTTGATCATAAACAATATCTGCAAAGTTACGAAACAGAAAGTTCAATGCAAAAGGAGATATGTCTTTTAAAATTCTGGCAGTTTAATGCCTACAAAAACGACTGGTAAGGGACTACAACAAGTTACTTCCTGGGTCCGTTACGTCAAGAACCTAGAATTTTACATAAACCCCGCCTCCAGGAACACGTAGCAAAGGGGGCGAGGCCATGCTGCACTGCTTTAGAGAAGAGGAAGAGAAAACTAGAGGTGCATGTAAAAATCTATTCATTTATGAATCGCGATTTCTGTCTTCTAACGATTCTAATGGATTCACAAGTTTGTGAATGTTCTAAAGCAG